AGGCACGGTGAAGAGAAAAGATTACAACATAGCTTTCTTTTCTCCACATTTTTTTTCTTTCTTCTTAAATCGCTGTTCTCATCGAATACACAAATTCTACATGAAAAAAGGGATTTAACTTCATTTCATATAATGTCTTGATTTATTAAATCGATTTTTTCATGCTTTCTCATTCTCCTGACGAAATTTTATCCTTGCAAAAGCAGTTTGTTTTCAAACAAATTAAATCTTTTGATTTTCTTGTGATTTACTTTCGTTCAACAATGAAAAAGTTCGAAAATATCTTGGTTGAAATGATGTGGCCAAGAAGTGCCTCTATCACAATGTGACCACTTCACATGTAGTGTATTGAGCGTGTGTATAAATCCAATGGCTGAGTTGAAAATACGACAAAATATATAACACACACACACATACAAAACAAATAGTCCATAATCAGTGATGATGGAGCTTTACCATAATTTGTGCAGTTCTTACGGCGAATAAAAATACCATTTTAAGTGAGAAAGAAATACAGATGACAAGTGAACCCGCACATCTGTGTTCACCGGCCACGTAATGTGAAATGGGTATGAGAGAAAGAGAGAGAAAAATTGACACACAACAATGGCTTATAAAAGAAAGAAAAAACTCGATGAACTGTTGAATAACCAGGCAGAAGTTGCTGAAAAAATGGAACACAATGGGAGAATGAAAAAAGAGAAAAGGAAGCGATCGTCGTGGAATAAAAGAGGAAAAACGGATTTTCCAAAACTGAAATGGGAAAACGTTAGAGAATAGGAAAACAAAATCAAACCAAAAGAAGAGATAAAATGAAATAAAACGGCAAATCCATTCATCTTTTTACGAAAATCTATAGTCGAAGTTAAATTTATGGAAATGCGTCGCATGGAATAAGCTTATGATATCAGCAACACACATTTAACATGTGTTCTGTGTGAATGAGAGAAAATGTGAGAGCTACCGAACAAGAGCGAAGGAAATATATAAAGAGAGAAAAGGGAATTTGATAATAATGCCGCGAGGGTGAGCGTTATCACCAGGGCAAAGCAAAATATTTTCATAAATACTTGGACCGAATATTGACTAATCATCATTTTAAGTTTATGGATGGATTGGGCAACTATTGGCGATACGCTGCTTCTTCTTCTTCCATTTGTATATCTACAAGCAGTGTGCGAAGGAGAGGGTTTACTCCCGAGACTCAAAAAATTCTTTGGATTTTCTGGGTTTTTTTTTTTAATCCAACTTAAAAATCGTCGTATTCTAATGAGGAATCGAAAACTCCTTATTCGAGTTTTGGAAAACTCTTTCTAGAGAGATCTCACCTCGTTCACTACTGATATATACGCAATACATCTAAAACTCACTCACACAATTGTTGCGTTACGTACTAAGGTGTCAAATACAGTGGCTGAGACAGAAGAAGAACAACCATATTTCGTTCAAACACAATCTATAAATGATATAAGCGATTCATATCTACGGGGATAGGCTATCCCGGATAGCTAACACCAACTAAGAGTTTTTAAGGAGAAACAACCAAAAACATAAAAATATACAAATAAATCCAAAGAAAAATGTGCATATTTTGCATTACCCTGATTATCACATATTTCTCATTTCAAGTATAGCAATTGTATTGATGGCTGAAAATGGTCAATTGAGGATAGTCGTTAGGTCATTTAATGCGAAACGACTTACATTTCAAAGGCCCGTTGTCCAACGGCGAAGTAAAAAAGCTTCCGATATAATGTCGTTTCGGTTTTTTTTTAAATTTCCACTCCCACATCTGGATTTAACTTCGAGCATAAAATGTACTTTATTAAGAATTCAATTCATTTCCCACGGCAAGCACACAATTTTAATTCGTTTTCTTTGCATCAAACTCCTGTTCGTGTGGTCTCACATATGAAAATGTTGTTGGATTTTTCCGACGGAAATGTTTAAAATGTGTTTAAAATGATTTGAATTTAGAGCATAATACTTTGGGGGATGATGCAAAATAGAGCAAACTTAATCTCCAATTGCCATTTATATTGCATGTCATTTGAATTGTGCAACATACGAACTGGTCGTTTGAAATCTATTCCACAACAAGTGTCAAAAGTAGCAGCGATTTGAATGATTTTCACATTAATACGATTAAGTACACTTTTGAATGGATTACACTTACGCTACCAATGTGCAACACTGAATATAACCAAATCTCCAAACAGAAACAATTACCATACACTACGGTGCAACATTGCATCGAGACATAACATTTTGTTGTGTCTAAGTGAAACGAACACATCAGAGATGAGCTCCGACATGGATTAAGACAAGTGCAGATCCGTAACAACAGCATCCGCTTCCTTATCGTATATCGAATGAATGTGATTTGATTTTACAAACGAAATGCCGCACCACATCGCGGTTCAACTCACAGCTGGCTTTATTAATTCATTTTTTCTTTCGCCTTGCTGTTGTTTTTCGCTCGAAAGAAAAAGTTCATCGACAAAAAAGGCAACCGTAATAAATGATATTAAAGATCATTAATCATGGTGCTGACCATTATTTGGTATACCTTATTATAGAAATTGCACAAGGGAAATGAGATTGCTTGTAGATACTTTCAACAGCGCATGTATTGTGGGCTAAATGCATATAGCACAGTTGACTTTTCTCTATCTCTCTCTCTCTCTCTCTCTCTCTCTACTTCTTTTCCGTGCAAGGAGAAAGTATTAAATTGGCCTAACATTTGAAGAAAACAGGACATTCTGGATTCTAGAGAGCCTGAATCAGGAAATTTTGAGCATAGTTGTTGCTTTCAGTTCATTTTCGGTGGAGAAAATTTGTAAATTCCCTTCCTTCAAACAACTATCTTAGAGATAACGTTTATTAACATGAATGCGTACGGATCACCGTGCAGAATAGTTCGTCTTACTGTTACAAAGCTCTTTATTTCTCTTCTTCTGTCATCTTTTTTCCCACAGCAAAGGTATGGATAAACTTTGAAAAAAAAAAAAAAAATTGAAAACTGGAGCAAAGTAAAATGGAAAAAACGGCATTTCAAAAGTGAAACAGAGAAAAAGCTACGGATTGCAAAAAAACACCGAAGCAAATATGAGCGATAGAGAGGGAGAGAGCGAAAACGATTCCATACAATAAATCATATTCGTGTGCAGCGCGCAAAACGCTCAACTTGTCAACATGTTTAATTTATTTATTTATTATTTTTGACTCGATTTTTTTTCCACAATCGTTGTTGACTTTTTCACTGTAATCTGACTCCCTTTTTTTGTAGTCGATGTGATGTTTTTCATTTTTGCTCGATTTTGAGCGTACAGTAATAGGGGTATTTGAATTTTGCTCCATTAAATTTTTGTTCAGTTTAAATTGTAGTACAAAACGGGAAAGTTTTCAGTTTGAATCGCATCATACAAATGTGCTACTCTGAATAGTGTAAGAAATATGCTGGCTTCCATTTGTTAGACACACAAGAACGCGAAAGTGAGAGAGAAGACGAAAAGTAAACGAAGAAAGTATAGTAAAACACAAGTTATACAAAATTCATTCCATTAAGTCAAAAAAAAAAACAAGGCGTTTTATTATTACCTCATTATGATGGATCTAGATTTCTCCAAGCTGAGCGACCTAATTTTCAGCGCGTGTTATTTTCCATACCGAAACATTAGCAAGTTGAGCCGAAGAAATATCCAAGCACACCAAATAATAATCACCCAAAATGAGCGAGAAACAAGCGATACGAACGAAGTAAGAGCGCTTGCCGGTTACATATTCTGCGCACCAAAACTTTTGTAAAGAAATATGTGAATAGTTTTTGAGTCATGTTTCATTTTTTTCTCTCTCAAAGATAGACACATACACACAAATTGCCATCAAATTTCAATGATGCTTGCTGTAAAGGCAATTATCGGGTATATCACTGGTGGCAGCAATAGTGCCGTAATGACAAAATAAACACAGAAAAAAGCACAACAACATTAACCAGTCGAAAAAAAGGGAACATGAATGTGTGTATGGCGAAAAAATCGAGCTCAACGTTGTTTCGTCGATATTTCAACGTTGTGTGTTGATTGCCCTTTTTTCCCTTTGTAACAGCGGAATAAAGTTATTTTCGCCCCGAATCGCAATTCATTTAGATATTTGACAACAACGCGAATTGCATTTTTCAATTTATTCGACGATTTTCTTATGATCGCATGCATAGTATGTGTGTATGTGTGTGTTTGCGAGTTTTTCATGCTATTAGAATTATCTGAAATTTACGTTGTATATCTCATCTCATCGTTCCATCTCTCAATTTATTGCAATTTTTCAAATTGCGTGCAAAATTTTTCACATTCAGCAAATTACACTCTCACACTTAGCGAAAATCCATAGAATATCCAAAGATAACGGTGTGTGGTATTTGTGGTGCTATGTCCGTTGTACCTTTGCTACTACTTTTTTTGTGTGCAAAATTTCGCTTTGCCTTGCAAAAAAACCAAATTGATGTTTAAGTTGTGAAAATGTAATTACATAATAACATCTACGTTTTTCTTTTAAAATTCAAAGTTGTAAGTGGCTCATTTTGATTTTAAGCGTTGAATTCTATCATGTGTTTGCTCGTTTCAAGCGTACTAACCGACGTTCGATTCGATTGCAGAGCCAAAGTGTGCGATTATTTCAACGATCAAATTATTGCTGGCGGATACAAATTAACAATAGTATCGCGCACGAAATGGGATAATTTAAAGGAGTTAAAAATTTCTCCGCTTGCATGAATAGTGTTCTTTATAAGTCGTTTATTACGTTTCATGCATTTGACACGTACGTAACACGTATATAATCACGTATGAACATTTGAACCATTTGATTTATGGCATTGGATAAAATCTTGATTGCAAATCGATATGCGCTCAATCCCAATCACAATTCATATTGTGATCGACGATGCATAAGTTGAGAATATCAAAAGATTGGAGAGAAAAACAGACAGAATTTGTACTTACTTAATTGTAAACTGACACAATAAACTGCTTGAGACGTCATTGCTTCGACGTCGCATTAAATGCAACTTCTATTTAGAATTGCTGTTTTGATTGATTGAATGCATGGCGTCCTGATTGATTGAGTGATTGATTTTATTCCGCTTCTGTTCGTCTTCTGTAAAATATGAAAAGAAAGAAATTGAGGAAATAAATTAATATATATATATATTTTTTATGTGGATTGTAAAGTGTTTCATATTATGACTCTGTGTGTATAAATGAAAGATTGAGGCGGGGGAGAGATAGTGACGTTCAAGGACGCAGTGCAAAATTATGAATTGACCTCGAGGTTAAACGAAATAAGTAGATGTGTATAAAAGAAATGTAATATAATGCGACCAATTCAGAAGAAAAAATTCTGTTTTTTTTTTCAAATAGAATGCCAGAGGAATAGGAGGTGAGAGGGAGAGAGGGATAAAGTCATTGAATTGGTTGGCTCACGTATATTTATTTGTGTGTCTTTGGCCATTTTATAAAATGAATTTTATGTGTATAAGCATTAAATTTTGCCAATTTCTTTGCCGAACATTTTGTTCACAAATTTATAACTTTCTTTCATATTTCTCTATATTATTGGCCTATTTGATTCGTTGCCATTGTATATTTACCGTTGAAAAATAGTGGCCGATTCGAAAATTTCGTCATTTCACTACTTCACAGCATATATACATGGACGTTTGAATGGTGACGAGAGGCACCATTGCCACAGTCGAACTCTTAAAACGGTTCAATTTTTTATTTTCTTTATGCCATCGAAATATAATGTCTGCATCCGGTAAAGCCTCCACAACGTAAAGAAATAGATATATTTTGTGTGAAAGAGCGAGAGACAGAGAACGAGAGAAAGCGGAATATGAATTCACAAAAGGTTTTCTTCGTGAATTTTGCTTTCATAAACTTTTTCATTGGCCTTTTTTTTCGTCGTCGTCGTCTTCGCCTTCATCACTCCCTTTTTTTGCTCTCTCTCTCTCTCTCTCTCTCTCTCTCTCTCTCTCTCTCTCTCTCGCTCTTCGTTATGCCTTCGTTGATGCGCTGTGAATGTTGTTTGCTTAGCTCATTTAAGTGAGAAGAAAAATGTGTATTTTTCACTAAAAGTACCATCATCATCGCATAAATCAAAGTGTAAAAACATTTTTGTCGAAATTATGCCTCATATAACATGAACGAGCGTATTGTAAATAGCTTTAGTAGCCATTCTTGAAATGTTCATAGAATTTATTTATTTTTGCCACATCGTCGTCCATCTCTCCGCTCTATCTCTCCCTCTCTCTTTCTTTCATTTTTTCTCATTCTCAAGTCATTGCTATAAAGTAAAAGTTTTTTTTTTTTTTTCATTTTCGTATGTATGTTTCCTCCTGGCTGCAAAATCGGCACAAGATCATCATTCAAATGCACAATTTCTATAGACAACTGAGAACGATTTAAGTGTGTTTGTTATGCCTTTGTAATCTATGCATTTGAAGCTATAGGTTGAAGTTGCTTCAGATATGAGCTGTGGTGGTCCTCTCAGTGCCCTGTTCAGCGTGTTTGCAAGCCTTTTCCGACGGAACGAGAGAACGCGATAGTGAGAAGGGTCGAGATATAGTGTGAGGCAGATAGAAATAAGCGATGTGTATTTTATGTCGCGTGTAAGCGCAATATTTCCCTTATTATCTCTCTTCGGCTCCATTCATGTGTGTGTATGTATATTTTTGCGTCGAACAAAAGAAAGTAATCGAAAAAAAGAAGAGCAAGAGTAGCGCGCGCCTGCATGCATCAAAATAAGAGCGCACATATCATTCTTGTTGGTGTTGAATAAAAGTCGCTCACTCTTCTATCTTCAATTGGCAGATTGGATTGTGTGTATGTATGTATGTATGTGCGGGACGAGTGCACGCTAAGAGGGCCAAAAACAGAAACTTTTTAATGTGTTCTCGAAAACTAGTTTCACCGTTACTAATGGCCCATTCGAACAACGAAGAAGAAAAAAGATGATGAAAAATGTTACAATAACAATAACAACAATATTTCCAAGCAATGTATAGAGAAGAAGAGAAAAAATTTAAAAAAAGACGAGCGCAATGATACATATTTAGAGAGGAAAGCAGTGAAAAAAATGGCATTCAGAATAATAATGGCAAATTGGATATATCCTGTGCGAAGTATGAGAAAATTAAGTATTTCAGCGATTGTATAAATATGCCAGATAGATATAAATCGGGAGACGCGTCTCATCGCACTCTCGATTGAGACATACACACACATGCCGTCCTGGCACATAACTTTCAGCAAATGTGCAGTCGAAGCTGCTGTATGTACACCATATAATATGTGCAGCTTGTACTGTGCTTCCTTTTCCTTATTCCGCTTTGTCCATTTTGATACATTGGTGTGTGAATGATGACACTAATAGCGGCATAGTGGCGAGATATCCATGTTTATCGTCGTCGTCGTCGTTTTCAACATCGTCAATCGTTGCTATTTCCAATGCCATCGCATGAAATCCAAATGCGATAAAGAGTACCTAAGCAACAGAAACACATTACTGAACACATCATCTTCACAAAGCTGTGAATGGGGTTGAATGAAGAAAAAAAATGTGTATCATTGAAAATCGTCTTCATTAAATGAACGTTTATTTTATGCTTCTCTCTTTCTCATTCACAAGAGGCATCCTTCTACATCACCGACATTCAATGTTACCAACATTTTACGCATTCACACAATATTTCCATGCACAACATTTTTATCTCATCGAAATCAATCGAGATGTGAATTTCTCAGTCATCCTTTATCTCAATTCATCATTTTGTCTCTGTTGATTGCCCGTTTTACCACCACAATCTCAGCACCAAAAATACATAGCTCTTTTTTCACAAACGATTTTGATTTTCGCAATATTTTTTTTTCGCCTCAAAAAACGTACATAAATATTGTTCATCGCTTGTTTTATTTTTTTTTCTCTTCTGAACGAGAAAAAAAGTTGCACCACTATTTCGCGCGGCACAATTTTTATCAATTTTCACCACCCGGTCATATGTGTATTTTCGGATATAGTCCAACTCCAGGGGAAATTGCTGGCGATTCTTCAAAAATGATGTTCAACACAACGATAATGACAACAACAACAACAACAAAAAGCAAAACAAAAACATACGAACGTGTCGAGAGATCGCCTCGCAAAGAAGACGAATAAACGAACGACAACAACAACAATAAAATAATCAATTCGTTGCAATGTATGAACGTTGCTGCGTTCGGATTGCATTGCACATAATTTGTGTGCAAATGGGGAAAAGTTGCATTATTTATTATCACATACATAAATTTTTCTCTGCGACAGGTTTTTCGCCTTAATGGGGTAATAAAATAATTGCAATCCAAATAGATGTAACAATAACGACGACGGAACAACAGTAACGACAATACGGATGAAGTGAAACCATTCAGAAATGGCCATCAGATATTTATCTGAAATTGTACAAAGAAAATGTACAGATCCTATGACGATGGCGGCAATATGAATGACGTACAAGAAGAGGAAGGAGCCAAGAAAAAACAACTGGAAAAGGAACCGAATAAAATCCGTAACATTACCAAACTGAATAGGACTTGTGCATTGGACTAATAGAGTCATTTAGTATGTATCATAGTTGGTTCGCGATTGTTTATTCTATGTTTATGCATTGCATTGCCATTTCATTGTGGCACATATGTGGAGCATTTTCGATGCCTATGCCATACAAATACAAATCTATTGCATGGATTTTATATTTGTTCGGATGTGAGAAAAACATGCGAAGGTTACGAATAATGTATATTAAAGCCGAAAAATAAGAGAGAATCACTGAAATTTTCACGACGTGTCTATGGGCCAAAATCGAATATACGATAGACACACACACACAAACACCATATTATATATGATTGTTCTCGGCAATGTTGTTGCTGTTGGTTATGTTTTTCTTCTACCATTTTTCGGTTTAACTGTGCGCTCCCATTGTTGACAATGTTGTTGACATGTAGTTGTTTTTATTTTCTCGTTCACTTTTAAAATGAAAACCATGCATTTTGCTTTTTCTCTATTTCTTTCGCTCGTTAATCTAACTTACTTTTCTATCCCAACACTCCCATGTGCACGCACGCGCGCGCGCGTGCGAGAGAGAGAGGAACAACGAGTACAACAACATGTTTATTTATTGCCTGATGGCCTGATGCTCTCCACCGAACGGAAAATGTTTCTTTAGTGTATTCAGGAAGACTTATAAGCTCTTTTGCTCTGTTCGTCTTTGTTTATATTTCAATTGCTTTGGGACAAGGCTATTTGGCTATTCAATATATGTATGTTCAGTTCATGCAATTGGCACTATTTGGCGATACACCGTGGTGATTTTATATGGTCGAGGTTGTTGTTTTTTCTTTCATTTTATTGTCGAATGAGTGGCCTGTGCACACTTTACTTGCTTTACTTGTTGGTGGCGCCTTTTGTTTCTGATTTTAATTTATGCAATCAACGTTTAATAAATAATTATTATGCTATTGAAGGATCCAACATACACACACGCACACACACAACAATTCAGACTTAAAAAATTAAACATACGGACGCTTCAAGTCAAACATATGGGTATTTTGTTGGAACGCGTTTCAGATGATAATTTGTATGATGCACTCGCAAATCGAATCTATATATTTCGGCGCAAGGATGTAGTAAATAAAATGAATTGCAATAAATCAATGGATTTATTTACTTGAAAATGGTTCAATTCGATTTTTATGAACAAACAATGATGGCACTTTTATTGGCTTCAACCATCTCCCGACCTTTATTCACATTTTTTCTCTCTCTTTCTCTCTCCTTATCATTCTCTATTGATAATGCGTTAATGTTTGTATCTCGTCGGCCAATTTTCTCTCTCTCTATCTCTCACTCTCCTTCCATTTCTATGCCATTCTTCTTCTGGGGGTAGTTTTATTAAATACCGTATTTCCTTTTTCAATTTTCATATCGTATATTTTAAGGGTACTTTATAATGCGAAACCAAAAGAGCAAAAAGAATGCAACAACAAGAAATGAAAAAAAACAAACACAAAATTATTGCCATTTCGATGGGAAAAGTTTTCCTTTTAAATAAT